AAAAAGAAAGGGCCCAGGGGTGGATTCTTGTGCCCTCCAGGGGACCTCTCCCTGGTTATAACCTAATTTGCTGTGTGTATGTGGACCAGACCAGCGGAATTAAACCTTCTAAGGTGTTGTTGGATTGTTTTCAAATGTCTGGAGTCTCCTGTGTGAGAAGTCTTTTTCTTCAGAGTAGCATCCTCTCCAGCAGCAGGAGCACAGGGTGAGCCTGGTCCTGTTCCTCCCTGCACTGGGTGTGTCCTCCAAGGCTCTGGAATTCTGGACCTCAGGTCTGTGATAAAGCTGGCTTGAAGGTGATAGGAAAGGGAATTAGTCATTGAAGCAGTTCCTTGTTTTCTACAGACCAGACATGTCTGCTCTAAAGAACTGGGGGTCACAGCCTTTCAGTTGGTCAATCAGAGCATCCACACACCAGCTTGCCCACAGTGCTGTGAAACAAGGGACCAAAAAATTCCCAGCAGATTGTCTAAGGGTGGCAGGGGAAAAACACATAGGCAAGAGAAAAAAATGTAGGCATGAAAGAATGCAAAATACACAACTCCAATGAACTTTGAAGTACAAGAAGTAAATATAAGCAATGTCTTACTGTATCCCTAAACTCGGCCCAAATATGCTTTTCAGATGCTGAGTTATCTTCAAACTGAAGGAGTTGCTGTGGCTGGAAGTTAAGATAATCTTACTCCCCGCAGCCTTGGCACAGCGCGAGGGCAGATCTACACCTAGAATACTATGTGTTGGCTGAGCATCAAGAAAAGTCTAAGCATGGGCTGGGCATGTAGCTCAGTGGTGAGGCATGAGGTTGGCAGGTGTGGGTTTAATGTTGGGCTCAATCTCCAGCACACATGACCCCCACAAGAATGAGACTGCAGCTGGTCATTGAACACCTGAAATGGTTGGGGAGACCAGGACCTCCATAGCCCTTCTAGGAGGGGCCAGTCAAATGGGAGAATTCTGCAATGTAAAAAGTAGGATGAGTTATGGCTGAATGGCACTCCCAAAATCCAACTTTTGAAGCCCTAACCCTTACTTTCTCAGAATATGGTTATTAGGTTCTCTAAGGGGTGATTAAAATGTAGTCATTAGTGTGCAATGTAGTCATTAGATTTGGAGCAGGTATGGTGTCACACACCTGTCATTCCAGCAGTGAGGGAGGCTGAGGCAGCGTGATCATAAGTTTGAAACCCACCTAGGCATTTTAAGACTCTATCTTAAGTAAATAACTAAAATTTCATTCTAAAAAGGGCTGGGGATGTATCTCAGTGGTACAGAACCCCTGAGAAGAAGAGATTTGGACAGATGTGTGCACAGAGAAAGGACTTCACCCCATGAAGACGTAGCCAACTGCTACCAGGACACAAGAAACCAAGCCTGCCTGCCCTGTGATCTCTGTTGTGAGACCAAACTGCGTTTCTGCTGTTTAAATTGCCCAGCCTGGAATGGCTTGTTACGGTGGCCCTGGAGGACAATGCAGGTGAGAGCAGACATGAAATGATTTAAGTGGTGAAAGGTCTAGAAAAGGATGTAGTCATCTCTGGGTATCACCAGCAAAGGTGTCTTAAGGCAAAATGTATACTACCTACATCAGAATCACCTACGATACTATTTATTTTGCAGTACTGGGGATTGAATCCAGGGCCTTCACATTGAGCTACATCCCCAGCCTTTTTTAAAATTTTATTGTTTTATTTTGAGACAGGGTCATCCTAAATCATTGCCCAGGTTGGGTTGGAACTTGTAATCGTCTTGCCTCAGCCACCAACAGTGCTAGGATTACAGGTGTGTGCCAACCTACGATACTTTTTTTTTTTTTTTTTTTTTTGAGACAAGGTCTCACTGTACAGTTCAGGCTGCCCTTGAGCTCACTTTGTAGCCCAGGCTGGTCTTGAACTTGCAAGTATCCTCCTGCCTCAGCCTCCGGAGTGCTGCTTACAAGCATGCACCACCTTGCCTGGCTCCTAGGATACTTCTTAAAGACCAAGCCCTCAGGCTCACAGGAGTCACTGTTAAAATGTTTTGGAATGAGGCCTAAGAATCTGGGGCTGTTTTGGTAGACACACCCTGAGTGATGCTTTTGCCTTGTAAGGCTGGAGACACAAAGCTTGAGGTCCTGCCTGACCTCTGGCTCTTTTCTGGGTGTGACCGGGAGGTACTAATTTCACTTCATCAAGGGCTGGTGTGCCTGGTGCTCAGGCAGATGTTCTGCCATGCGGGAACCAAGCGTAAATCTGCCAGAAGCTTCTGTCTCTCCAGGTGTCAGCGGTGTTCGCTCAGCACTCGGGGAAAAGTGGAAGGGGAATGGGATGGAATGAATGAAGTCCTTAGAGGAATTTACTGTTGGTTCTGGAAAGAAATACGCCCCTCACCTAACTCACTTAAGAAGATGTGTTTTGGACAATCATATTCAGTCCATGTACTGTTTCTCTCATTAAAGAGCCTATTACGGGCTGGGGATTTAGCTCAGCGGCAAAGCGCCTGCCTCGCAAGCACAAGGTCGTGAGTTCGGTTCCCGGTACCGGAGAAAAACCAAAACCAACCAACCAAACAAAGAGCCTATTACTTTGGCACCTAAATTAACAAAAGCGATATAAGGATAGAATGGGCATAGCTAACTTTTCAGTTGCTGTACATTAGTTGAGCTTGTATGGCCAGTTCCCAGATACCATTATACTGCTTCTTTTTCTTATTAATTGTGTTGTTTTTGTTGTTGTTTTGGAACCCAGGACCTCCCACACAGGATACAAAGTGCTCTAAAGAGCTGCCAGCCCAGCCTGGGCCTTGTGATGCCCTGTACAGTTAAGCTACAACAGTGAAACAGACAACACGTAAATGAAATAAGCTAATAATAACTGGGAAAGACGCTAACAAATACTTCCTACAGGCTCTGCACTTCTATTTATGTCATCACCAAGGGCAATGGAACTGAGGTTGAGAAATGAGAGAAGGGGGGAGACCAGTGATGCAGTTTCAAAGTAGGCAGAATAGATGGCACCCATTCGGTTCCCACAGGACAGGTAAAAACTGCCTTCGTATTTACAAATGTGAAAAAGGACCATAAGGTTTTCTCAGTTGAGGTTTTAAGACTGAAATCTAGACAGGTCACATGAGAAAGCTCAGGGCATTAGATTATTTCTCTGTTTCACCTAGAATGCCCTGTTGAGGGCCAGCCAGGCTAAGGGGCTCCTGCAGCGGTATTTTGAGCACTTCTTCAATGCCAGGCACCTGGCTAAGTGTTTTTCCCTCCTTGACCAAATTTCAGCCTGTGTGGCTCTCTGGATTCCCGCTAGGTTCCTTTTTTGTGCCGGGGGT